TGGGGAGCTGTATCAGTGATCCTGTGGGTATGCCTGCCTATTTTCATCTTTTTCTTCTCTTTTCCAGATAAACCACGAGACACAATCACGACCGTATCAGTAAATAACAAAACAATGTCAAGCTTTCCAGTAGAAGTCACTAAAGGTGATGAAATTACATTAAGCTGTATGTCCAATGGAAGACCCTCACCTACATTAGACTGGGTAAACCCCAGTAATGGCAGCAACATTGAGATTGGTCCTGGATTTCTGCATATTCCGTACATAACCTCAGAACATCAAGGAATTTATAAATGTAGAGCTACCAATCAATATGGAAGCGATGAGAAGGATGTGGACATCAGGGTCAAAGGTCAGAATTTAATATTACCATTGTTATTATTACTTTGGGCTCCTGTTCTCCTCCACCCTTTCTGACAATGAAAGAAGAGGATAAACTGCTCCCTGCCTCTAATACTGCTCTGTAACTGGTACATTGGGTACAAGTGGCTCAGAGCGACAGTGTGTGTAGAAGTACCTTCCTCCTGCTCTGCATTTGTCCCACGTGCCTGGGTAATAACTCCAAGGGGGTTGGGGGTGCGGTTGTGGCTGTAAACCCACACACTGCCATTCTGAAATAACTGCACAGAGGCCGGTTTCCCATCACCATCTCACCCTTTATTTACATGTGGCCTGTACATGGGCTGTGACCAGCCAGATCAAAGTCAATCCCTAGACAGAGAAGCCCTTCTGAATCCCCTGTTTATATCTATCAGCTGGGGTTTGTTAAACTGAGCCAATCAAGAATCTCAGTGTCAATGAGATCCACCTGGCCATGGTTCCTTCCCACCAAGTTCAGGAATGTAGGCCTGTCTTTTCTTTTGTAGCTTCTCCTGGGATGTTTTCGCTTCAGGTCCGGTTCCTCTGACTTGGACACGGGCAGCATGTGCCAGACCATAGTCCGTCTCTTGCATCTGCAGCATCTCAAGAGTGTTCCTTCCTCTTCTCCCGGTGGTAATGGTATTGAGGCTGCATCCATCTCGGACTCTGAGGTTTCAATGCTAGACAGAGGGGGACAACCCATGGTTTCTGACAGCTTTTCTGGCTGTTCTGAGGGGCCAGGTATGTTTTTCACCTGCCCTGTTTGCGCAGTAGCAGCTTTCAGGTGATTCATTTGTTTGTTCAGGACCACCTCACCTCCCTGAACATTGTATGTCACAGGACCTGACATTGTGTTGACCTTGCCTCGTATCCATGCTGGGCCATTTCCGTGGTTCCAGCAACAAAGGAATTCCCCTGAAGTGAACTCACTTAGAGGAGGCATGTGGCAGGCATTGGCGTTCTTACTGCCGTTTCACCCTCCCCACCCCACCCCAGGTCTGGAACTATCAGCTTTAACCTGGTGCAGAGTCTTCTCCCCATTGGCAACGCTGCTGGAGCTGCCCCTGTTGTTGCATGAGGGATGCTCCGATAATCAAACAGGAACAGGGACAGTTTGTGTTGTAGGTTGCTTCCTTAAGCCTGCCTTCAATGTTTGGTTCTTTCCACCAGAACATTGGAAGATGGATTGTATGGAGCTACCCGAACATGCCGAATTCATTTGACTTTAGGAAATACTTGAATTCCCTGCCAGCAGTTGATGTCCCATTGTCCTTGACTAATACTTCTGCGAATCCATGTCTCGCAAACGATGATCATAGCTTTTCAATCATCATTCCTGAGTTTGCCAATTGAGTTTAATGCAAATCTAACCACTTTGAATAGGCATCCACAATGGAATATTGAGCCCATTCTGGGCAGCACGGTAGCTCAGTGGTTAGCACTGCTGCCTCACAGCGCCAGGGACCTGGGTTCAATTCCACCCTCAGATGACTGTCTGTGTGGAGTTTGTACATTCTGTGTCTGTGTGGGTTTCCTCCCACAGTCCAAAGATGTTCAGGTTAGGAGGATTGGCCATTGAAAAAATGCAGGGTTACAGGGATAGGGTAGGAGTCTGGGTGGGATGCTCTTTGGAGGGGCGTGTGGACTTGATGGGCTGAATGACCTGCTTCCACAGTGTAGGGATCCTATGAAAGGAACAGAATAGTTCATGTGTAACCAAGTCCAGGGTTTACCCAGTCATTCCCACGCATTTAAGGAGTGCTGCCAGTGGTAATGTTTGTTGGCAATCTGGGCACTGTCCCACTAATGCAGCTATGTCAGCATCCAGTCCTGGCCGCCAGTCATAACTCCTTGCCAACATCTTCATTTTGGAAACGCGTGGAGTTCAGTCAGTATCTGGGACAATCACTCTTGTTCCTCGAAGTAATATGCCATCCTGTACGGTAATCTGGTCTCACCAGGTCAAGAAAAGTTTCAATCCTAGTTGTAATGGTACTTCTGTTTCCCCCATTACCACCAGCCGTTTTAGTTTTGCTAGGATGGGATCTTTCTGTGTCTAGAGTTGAATGTTGTCACCGGTGACCCAAAAGGGTGTCCAGAAAGTGCTAAACCAAAACGGACTCTTCCAGGGGAGGCACCACCGGTGGAGTATCTGCCAGTGGGAAGTGGCTCAACGCATCTGCATTTGCCACTTGGCTTCCTGGATGGTGTTCTAACTGGTAATGGTACCCACTGAGAATAAGGGCCCAATGAATTTGACCAGAAGCTATGGGAGGCACAGTCTTGCCTTCTTTAAGTAGCTCCAGTAGGAGCTTGTGGTCCGTTACTATGACAAATTCACATGCGTAAAGGTATTAGTGGAACTTCCTCACACCAAAGATGACTGCCAAACCTTCCTTCTCTACTTGGGTATGTTTGCATTCAGCATCAGCCACAAAGTCCAGGAAGCAAATGCTATCTGTAATTCCTCTCCGTTGGGCCTCCGTGAGCCATCACTACCCTGATACCGTACGGGAGGCATCGCATGTCAGCACCACCTCTCGCTTTGGATCATAGTGGGCCAACACTTTAGATGACGATAGCTACTTTCTCACTTCTCTAAAGGCTGATTCCTGGCTATGCAATGATTTCCAAGGCTGCCCCTTTCTCAACAACAGGTATAAGAGTGCGAAGATGGATGCTAGGTTACAAATGAATTTCTCGTCCTATTTCACCAACCCAGGAAAGACCCAAGCCCTGGTACAGACATGGGAGCTGGAGCACATTTGATCACCCTCACTTTATTTTCCAAAGGGTTTAACCCACTTTTGTGACTTTGTGGGTCATTTGGGGTGCCCAAAAAACAGCATTTTTCCCATCTAAGGCATACACCTGCCTGGGAGAAACATTTAAGCACTATGTCCAAGTTCTCCAAGTGCTCTTTATTTGTCTTCCCTGTTATCAGTACATCATCCAGATAAATTACAACCCGGGGTAACCCTTGTAAAATGTTCTCCATGGTTTGCTGGAAAAGGGTGCAGGCTGAGGATACCCCAAAAGACAGCCTCGTTTATTGGTACAAACCCTTATGGGTATTAATTGTAGCGTACTTCTGGGACACCTCATCTTGTCACAAGTGAAGGTAGGCGTGGCTCGTGTCCAGCTTCATTAAGGACAGACGCCCCCACCCGCCACCAGTTTTAATTACAATCCCTCTATGCAAGGGATCAGGTATTTATCCAGCTGCAAGAAGTGGTTTACCATTTGTTTAAAATCCCCACAAAGGCAAACTGAGCTATCAGGCTTCACAATTGGTATGACCAGTGCTGCCCTTTCTGCAAACTGCACTGGTTTGATGATTCCTTCACTCTCCAGCCTCCTGATTGCCACCTCTACTTTTGCCCGCATTGCAAATGGCACTGGGTGGGCCTTGCAGATTGTGGAATTGCTTCCCTGTCAACATGTAAAGTGGCTGTGTCCCCTTTGATAGTCCCAAGCCCTTCCTGAAATACTCCTGGCTATTTCACTATGACTTCACTGAGACAGCCATTTTCTAATTGTAGACTATTGAGCCAATCAAGGTGAATCTTTCTCAATCAATTCTGCCCCTCAAGGGTTGGACTCAAGCCTTTTACTACAATCAGTAGTAATTTCACCAACTGCTTCTCATAGGGAACCAGAACCTAAGTGGTACCCTTAATCTGTAACGGTTCCCCAGTGTACATTATCAATCTGGCCGAGGTCTTGCACAAATCTAAGGGTTGGAGCCCAGAGCAAATCTTGTTAAAGACTGGTTCTGTAACCATTGATATATTGACCTCAATGAGAACCAGGTGACCATTTAAACAGACATTTATTATAATTGGTTCTGATTTGCATGTTGCTAAGCAATTTAACTGTTCCAAACCACATGTAGGGGGAACTTTCCAGGGTGTGCACTCCCCTCGATACTGGCCTATGAGTTTTCTTACTCAAGTCAGGCCTTGTAGGACTCCTTTGCTGTCTTGAATCCACACACCAGCAGCAAGTACGATAGCTTGCCGACCTAGATCCTGAAGAACATTTTAGCCACTGGGCTGAGGCTTGGCTTTGTTGTGGGGTTTGGCTGTGGGCTGACCCAAGGTATATTGCATGAGGCTATGCGATTGCCTACAATCAAGTGGTGTTCCCGAAGCTCAGTCAGACAGGTGAGGATGTCCACTTCCATTGGGATGCCCTGTAACTCCCATGCTCCACTTGCCACATTTTCTAATGACAAAGCCAATGTAGTCCCTGTTGGAAGTCCAGTTGGGGATTCTGCTAGTAGTTGCTTTTGCAGGGTAATGTCATTAATGCCACATACCAAATGGTCTCTCAGCATCTCATCCAGGGTTAACCCAAAATCACATGCTTCTACCAGACATCTTACCTCATGAAACATCATGACACAGATACCCTTGGTTCTGTAACAGCCAAGTAAAACCGATAGCATCTCAGAATTAGAGTAGGCTTGGGGTCGTAATATTCCTTTACTAAATCTGTCCTCTTGAAAGGTTTTTGTATCTGGTGCCACAGGGAAAGTTAAGCTCTTAATAACTGAAAATGCTGTGGGTCTGCAAACTGTCAGAAGGATTACTCATTGCTTTTCATCTGCCCCAATGTCATTTGCCCAGAGAAAATAACGCATTCTTTCCACATACTGGGCCCAGTTTTCAATGGCAGTATCAAACAAGTCAAGCTTCCCAAATAAAGGTACAATGTTAGAAATGCTTACCCCAACTCCCAAGATGACTGTTGCAAAAGAATTTTGTTCAGGCATGTTCTTGTCACCACTGAAATAACCACACAGAGGCTGGAATCTTGTCACCTAGTCAGCCTTATATTTATGCATGCACAGTACCCTGGCCTTGGCCAGCCAGCTCAGAGTCAGTCCCTGAAATGAGGAGATTCTGAATCCCATGCATATATTTGTCAGCCAGGGCTCCCTGATTGGCCAAAATTAAAAACCACAATGAAGAATCTCATAGTCAATGA